GCTTGATATTAGCCCCAGTAGTGCTGAGTTTATTTATTATTACATAAAAATATCTTGCATACATTTCTAAAGGATATTTGAAATAAAAGGTCCCTAAAAAAATCAATGCTAAAACACAGCAAAATAATTTTAAATGGTTATTTATAAATGGTATTAATTTATTAAAAAACGTAATTCATGCGCGCGCTGAGACACTTCGCTTCACACTACAGATCGATATCTAATATCTATGATCCAACTGCGCAATAGTCGGTATTCCGACGCTCCGCCCTTAATACTAATTAACAGAGTCGATCTATCGACGGTTCATGCTCAAAGGGTTAAGTTTTTTTTTATTGCTTATATGGGTGGACGAGCTCACAGCCCACCTGGTGTTAAGTGGTTACCGGAGCCTATAGACATCTACGACGTAAATGCGCCACCCACCTTAAGATATAAGTTCTAAGGTCTCAAGTATGGTAACAACGGCTACCCCTCCCTTCAAACCGAAACGCATTACTGCTTCACGGCAGAAATAGACAGGGTGTTGGTGCCTGCCCGCCGGACTTACAAGAGGTCCTATTACCACTTAAACTGCTAACTGACTTGATGGATCAAGACACTTGCATGAACAGGGCTGTTAGTAATAGTAGTACCGAACTGTGCATTGTGAAACATTATTGGAACGAAGTTCCTTATGGGACGATGCGGAGGGGTACCCTAACTGGAAAAAAAACGTCCGTAACGTAAGATTTTTATTAGTAATGTACACAGTGTATGACTTAACTTCGTAATAACGTACAAAAAATAAACAACCGCGAATGAAGTGTACCACAATAAGTTCGCACGTTACCGAATGACCGTGGGTTGTTGCGAAACCTCCAGTTCTATTTTCTTTATACCTCGAATAGAACTTAAAATTAATATTTTTATAATAAGGAACTTCGTTCCTATCCGGTGCCCCATGATACCAGATGTGTGATCTTTAAATCAGTATTTCAGGTAATAGAAAAATTCGGGAATAGAAAAAAAAACGCGCCCTTAAATTGTTAAAGTAGCCTGACTTATGGCTACGACTCCCGACAACCGATGTACCTATGTATTATCAATAATATATCTATACAGCATCTTAAACTATTTATTTTAACGAACCACTTATCTATCATCTAAGCAAAAAATCGGTTGTCTGTAAAGTCGGTTTACTGACGGTAGTTGAACGTGACAACGTCATAAGAAAATACTGATGGAATGGTTTCATTTTTCAATTATCGCAATTATCGTTGTTATAAACAATTGACACCACATTCACTTTTCACTGAACTACATACTTGACGAAAATATGTAAATGTATTATTGTATAGCAGCTGTCCACGCGGATGCCTCGCTCACTCAAGTAGAAGAGAGACGGATGTCGAACGCTACCGAACGCGGATTGTGCCTCTTTGTCGCTCGTTGCGCGTTCTCGCTTGCACTTCAAGCCTTAAATGGAACGCTTCAAAGCGAGGTAACGCCGCATGAGTCATGTTTTTTCGTGCGTGCAGCCGGCTCCATCGAATTATAAGACATTGTCACGTCAAAACAAAAAAAAAACACAATGCCCATATACACTCATAAAATAGCTTATATACTAGCCAAGTCAAAACTCATGAGATATTTCAATTCTTGGAAAGACCGTACGTACGAATTTCAACAACGTAATCACGATATATAATAATAATGTGAGCGATTGATATCATTAGTGTTCTGTTAATTTTCATTTATTCAATCATTTAGCGTGTTTTTTTTTTCAATATTTCGTAAACATATCTTGCTAGTTTCCCATCTCAGTCTCAGCTATTGGAACGCCTCCAAATAAGGCCGATACGAAAGCCGGAAAATAGATTGGCAATTGTATTTTTTAATGAGCTTTTAATATGAAGCGCTAAAGGAAAATTCTTGTTTGTTCTAATATGTTCTATGGCACGGTACGGTAAAAATAAAAATAAATAATAGTTTAGAAAAACTAACAAAATACGCCTTTATAGGAAATCCAATTAAAAAATAGAAAATTATCAGGATATTATCAAAATAACCCTTCTACTCATATCTGTTCATAAATTATTTATAACTACTGATACCATGCACCCCACGCTTTTTTTTACAATAAAATCATTTTTATTACAAAATTTTTACTTCAAATTCATAAAAAAAAAAATGTTCTATTTTTTAGTTGGATTTTCTATAAAAGCGTATTTTGTTATTTTTTTTTTAAACTATTATTTATTTTTCATTTTTTAGTTGAATTTCAATGTTTTCATATATATTTTTTAATTTTTTTTTTAATATTGAAAAATCATGTTCAAAGATTCCGTTACATACTAACATATAGTATACGTCTAAAGCTAATAAAAGCGTATTAATAAAAAAAGAGGCAAAATCGAATGTGTTCCTCTCTAAGCACGCCAATAAAATTTCGACCATAGCACGACAGTTCTTGTAAGCACACATGTTAAACAAATTTAGTGTGGTGATGCGACCCAAATTTTGTTTTTATTCACCAAAGTTAATACATCGTTTTACGAGCGAGTTTAAAGTTAATAAAAAAGGTTATTTTTAACGATGGACCGACGCCATTTTGAACTTACATCAATCGTAAATGAGTTCCGTCCATTCGTATACGTATCTTTGTTTGGTGATAGAAAATATTTGCGAGGAATTTAAATTATAAATTATTAATTGCTGCTAAATATCTTTTATTCTAAACTCACGTAATAAAGTATTTTAATTCTTTCCGTTCTTATTATAGGGGTAGTCGAAAATTAAGAACTCGCTATTACACTGGACTTTTGCGGGAACGCGAGGAGTGAAGTTGTGTGATTTGTTTTATTTGGTCTATTTAATGTTTCTTCATTTTCAAATGTGTAATAAACCACCGTTTATTAACTGTTTAATATCTGTGAAAGTGCACAAATGTGGGAAAATAAAACAAAGCCGCTGGACGCAACTTCTCGGGATCCTAGAAAAAGTCCACTGAAAGTATCAGTAATTGACCACCATTTTACTGAGATTATATTTCTATCTCATCTCATTTCACTCCATGGTATCATTTTTCATAAAAATAAGAATATAAATTAAAAAAACAAGACCCGACCTAAAGGTCTTAGTTACCAGGTCATAAAATCCCTTTAAAAAGCTATTTTATTTACGGAAATGAATTTGGCGCCAAATGTGCCATGTAAGTTTAATTAATTATTTCATTTATCCTCTAATTTTAATGTCAAACCGCTGGTCACGAGATCAGAGTTCAAACCTGTGGACGCGTTGTATTTCAGAACAAATTTATAGGGGTCCTATGTTTTTGGCGCGTATCTACTTTACTTTATTTATTTTTATTTTATTTATTTATTACACTTCATGTAAAAATTACACTGGCGGACTTAATGCCTAAGGCATTCTCTACCATTCAACCAAAGGTAGTGCAGAGTGAATACTGGTAGGCGCAATGAAATTTATATTAAGTTACAAATACATACATACATATTATTATATATACATACATACATATAATTGTTTAATCAGTATTAATAAATATTATATTAACATATTATTATTAATAAACTTTACGCGTACGTACTTTCCCATTTTGAGGTGAATTGCAACGATTATTGTTACAGTTTATTTCATTAAATCAAATCAAATCAAAAAACAATTATTCAACATAAATGACAGTACGTACTTGTTGAACGTCAAAAAGAACTACCGCCAATTCACAAAAACTAGCCTCCGTCCTGAGAAGAACTGGCAAGAAACTCAGCGGGCATGTCTTTTTTTTTATATTAGATGTTTTTTAAATATTCATTTTTACAATGAGTATAACATAACAATTATTGCAATACTGAAATGCCCGGAGCGAGCAACTCATTCCCGTGTTATCCGTTAGCTTTGAGCTCGCAGGATCCCGATAAAGAGCCCCAAATATCGGGCTCAATGTGACAACCACGATTATTTCTCTCACAAAACGAGTCACGCCGATCCTAAGCAAACATGCGACAAATGCATTTTTTCCCGCCAAAGCAAACAGTATAACGCGACAAAACACATCATCACATAAAAAAGCGTGTTATGTTTTATTATAACGCTACTTCGGTCGGTCGTAACGTTTTTTCGCGTTGTATTTTTACGGTTGCCGCGTAATATTTAGCGATATTTTTTGGTTAGACTCTGATTCGTTTTTTCGAGTGTTCGTTATTTAAAAATTAAAAAAAAAGTTTTTCAAATTCCGTAAACTAATAAAATGATAATGCAAAAAATTTTTTTTAACGTTTTGTTGTTATTATTCATTATTTGTCATTATTATTTAACGGTAGGCTAGTGGTAGGGCCTCTGGTGAGTCCGTGCGGGTAGGTACCACCACCCTGCCTATTTCTGCCGTCAAGCAGTAATGCGTTTCGGTTTGAAGGGTAGGGCAGCCGTTGTAACTATACTTGAGACCTTAGAACTTATATCTCAAGGTGGGTGGCGCATTTACATTGTAGATGTCTATGGGCTCCAGTAACCACTTAAGAACAGGTGGGCTGTGAGCTTGTCCACCCATCTAAGCAACAAAAAACAAAAAAAAGGCTCTGCAATAACAATGGCTCTGCTCCTGACATTGCTGAAGTCCATGAGCGACGGTAACCACTTACCATCTGGTGGGCGGTATGCTCGTCTATACGGCAATAAAAAAATGTGTATTAGGAGTTGACAATTTGATTAATATTAATTCAATTTGATTTGATTTGATTTTTATTTATCTTTATTTTTAATAAGTCTGATAACTGTAATTTTAATTTTATTGTATTTAGATTTAAAATATTATGTAATTGTAGGTGTATAAGTCTGGCAATAATAATCCTTCAGAAACAATTTACGTCTGTGCTATTGTATTTTCGCTATTTCATAATACGTCATAAATGACAGCTCACGTCAATTCTTCATCTGTCAAATTATTTGTTGAGTTATTAATAATTCAAAATGGCTGACCGATTTTTTCTTGTTTGCAGGTAGTTCGAAAACTATGACGCGGTAGACGAACATTTAATGGTAATTCGGGACGATCCTAACGGTTACTCACAGTGGCGACGATGACCGAGTGTTAATAAGTGATCTTTGACATAATATTATGTGAATTGCGTTAATAAAAATCGAAATCAAAATGGCCGGTCGGTTTTGGAAGAACTTGGCTGTTTTTTGCGGTAAGTGCATTGTTTTCTTTGATCATTTTACGTAGTCAATACACGACATGTAGTTCTGGTGTGATTTGGTATTGTAAAGAGACTTTAATGGATAGGTTATTATAGAAATCAATTGTGAATGAGAGAACCGCGTGTTTGAAACACGATGCAGTTTTATTTTATCCAAAAAAAAGCAACCCAGTCTAAAAGTTAATATAAGTTTGTTAATAACTTCCGATATACCTACCCTAAGTTTTTCAATCTCCGCTGACATGAATGACTAATTTACACAAGAATAGTGAATGTTTCCTACGATAAAATACTATTATAGCTTACATTTTCAATTTACAATTTCCGACGTCTGCACTATGGAAACTGTATGGATTATCGTATCGTCATAATCATACAATAAATAATTCGACCTTATTAATTAAAAGGAGTGGTTTATGGTTTCATGTCACTTTATAATTGTATTTCTTTTCCTCTATATAATCGCTGGTAGCCTAAGGGATATTGCGTCCACCATATTATGTTTGTAGACTGGATACATTGAAAGCCGCAAACACTGGTGGTAGGACCTCTTCACGGGTGGTAGGACGTCTTACGAGTCCGCACGGGTAGGTACCACCACCCTGCCTATTTCTGCCGTCAAGCAGTAATGCGTTTCGGTTTGAAGGGTGGGGTAGTTGTTGTAATTATACTGAAACCTTAGAACTCATATCTCAGCATCTCAATGTGGGTGGCGGCATTTACGTTGTAGATATCTATGAGCTCCGGTAACCACTTAACACAAGGTGGGCTGTGCTCGTCCACTCACCTAAGCAATAAAATGTAAAAAAAACGCGTCCTTATGGATCCATCAGATGCAATAGCTCTTGCATTAGACGCCTGCTCTAACACTAACCAGGTAACCGTACTTGTCGAACTCGGCAATGAATTCGACGTGCAACCTAATCCATACATCAGCCCATTACAACAGCACCTGTCCTGGTGAAACTGGAAAGGACTCCAGGGCAACAGTAATGCGTCCTTCAAAAAAAGAGCATGGATGAGTTAAATCTATACTAATATTGTAAATCCGAAGAGTTTGTTTGTTCGAACGCGCTAATCTCAGGAACTACTGGTCCGATTTGAAGAATTATTTCAGTGTTAGATAGCCCATTTATCGAGGTAGGCTATTATAGGCTATATAACAACACGGTAAGGCCAATAGAAGTGAGCACCAATAACGAATGTTTCAAAATAGGGGTTTAAATAGCTCCTTAACATTCTATAATTCAAAAATTTAACGGCCGTCTGGTGTAGTGGTAAGTGACATGGTCACTACACAAGGGGGTCGCGGGTTCGAATCCCGCCAAGGGAAGATATTTGTATGATAAATATAAATGTATTTTCCAGGGTTATGGATGTATATTAAATATATGTATGTGTATAATAAAAATCTTACATTTATATTCGTTATCTGGTACCTGTAACACAAGTTCTGTACGAACTTATCACGGGACCAGTTAACGTGGCGTGATTGTAACATATTGGCCACTTTAACGATTGTCAAATTCTTAAAAAATATAAAAATATTTTCACTTTCTACGTAAATGAAGAGGCGGGTAAAATTTAGCGTTATGCCAAAGTAACTATTTCACGCGGACGGAGTCGCGGGCAAATGCTAGTTAGTTAATAATTGGTCAAATATTGATTTTCGTACGGGATTACAAGCCCTTCACGTGGTAAGCGAACGTGCATGATAACAATGTTATCTGTATTAAAAAAAATAACAATAAAACAAAATGTTTTGTGTTGGGTAACGGCACCCCGCAATCTAACAAAGGCTACAAATAATTATGATGTTGAGTGTTTAGATGGTTGGACGAGCATACGGCCCACCTGATGGTGAGTGGTTACCGTCGCCCATGGACTTCAGCAATGCCTGAGGCAGAGCCAAGCCGCTGCCTAAAAATTATATTAAATATATGTATGTGTCTAATAAAAATCTTACATTCATTTCCGTTATCTGGTACCTGTAACACAAGTTCTTTACGAACTTAGCACGGGACCAGTTAACGTGGCGTGATTGTTGGTAAATATTTATTATTATTAAAAAATAATCCTTCTACTCATATTTGTTCATAAAATATTTACGACTACTGATACCATGCACCCCACGCTTTTTTTTTTACAATAAAATCATTTTTGCTTACACTATTTTTAATTCAAATTTATTAAAATTTATTTTCTATTTTTTAGTTGGATTTTCTGTAAAAGCGTATTTTGTTAGTTTTTTTTAACTATTTTTTATTTTTTAGTTGAATTTCAATTTTTTCAATTTTTTTTTAATATTAAATTGTCATCGGTCTTTAATAAGTATATCAAATTTCGAGTTAATCCGACGCTTTGAAGGGGTCAAAATCATGTTCAAAGATTCCGTAACATACATACGTCTGAAGCTAATAAAATCGTAAAAATAAATGGCAATGCTTAAAAGTAAATACCTACTTAATTTTTAAATAATAATACTAACGTAATACCTACTTGTTTGTTATTCATAGCAGTGAATGCTTCGCTACATAGCTCGTATATTGTCCAGTATTACATACAATCAAATTGAAAATTGAAAATTATTTCAACAATCAAAGAACAAATACAGAACAATAATGTCATGAATAATACGAACCGAGTTCCTATTGTTTGCGCGAATAATAAAAACAAATGTTTTGTTCTGAACTAAACTGTTGTAAAAATTTTTATATTTATTTGGTACATTACCGCGTGAGGGTATTAAGGAGCGTGGGACGGGTTCGGGCGAGCGTTTTGGGGGGTCGAATGTGTGGGTAGAGAAACTTTTCTAACCATCGCGTTATTCCTGGTGTCACGGCGGGTGGATCGCGAAAGAACCATGCTAAGTTAAACGGGCTTAAAGATTGTGTTAAGTGCCTATAGGCGTCCATGCACACCGCGAGATGAATGTTAATGTTAAGATGAAATGAGATTTATCTTTAATACTAGGAGTAGGGACCCCAGTGACCGTACTCGTCGAACTCGGCAAAGAGTATGACGTGCAACCTAGCCCATGCATCAGCCCGCTGAGTTTCTCGCCGGATCTTCTCAGCTGGTCGCAATTTAGATCCAGTAGTAGATTGAAGCAGCTGCTCTTGAGTTGTTAGGTCTCCTTTGGAGGCGCTCGGATAACTGTTAGCAAATTCCACCCCTCCTGGCTGAGCCCTTGCTCACCCACCTGTCCTGATAAAACTGGATTAGTCCTCCGGGCCACCAGTAACCTCTCAAACGTAAAATAGGTCGAAATTACGTGTACGTATATCGCTTATCCCACTCTATAAATATCAATGTTTGTTTTTTCGCGTCTCATAAATGAGGATGGTGACATCTGGTTGTGTGAAGTTACTGACTTATATACAACCCCATCGGCAGTTTGAAGTAAACCATAAAAAAAACACGTTGTCTGTAAAGACTGTTTACGGACGATACGTAACATCATTAGCAGAACTATTCGAAATGACAATTCGCTATGACATGTCCTTCTTCAAACGAGGCTTGTGGAGAGTATTAAGCGGTAGGCAGCGGCTTGGCTCTGCCCCTGGCATTGCTGAAGTCCATGGGCGACGGTAACCACTTACCATCAGGTGGGCCGTATGCTCGTCTGCCTACAAGGGCAATAAAAAAAAAAAATACTAGCTTGACGTCACGCGAGAAGAGAGATAATTGTGTGACAAGCCAACGTTTGGCCGACCATGCCTCTCGATCGTTTGTATCGCGCTCTCGCTTGCACAGGTTTAGGTGGAACGTGACACTTTATCGTACGTGCAGCCGGTGTTCATCAATTTATGACGTCATTACGGATCCTCCCGATCTATTAACGGTGCTTTTGGGTACCGCAAACACCGGTCACCGTCCTCGTCGAACCCATTGCTTGCAACGAAGGGCTCGACGAGTAAATTAACCCTCAGACACAGCCCACTGAGTTTCTCGCCGGATCTTCTCAGTGGGTCGCGTTTCCGATCCGGTGGTAGATTCTGCGAGGCACTGCTCTTGCTAGGGCCAGTGTTAGCAACATTGCCGGTTTGAGCCCCGTGAGCTCACCTATACGTCAAGGAGAAGCTGAAATAGCCTCTCAAGGCTATCAGCATAGATAGGAAAAAAATCGATTTGTAAGACGTCAGCACGTGAAAAAATTGTTAATTTATTACTGTGCTCAAATATTTACAAAGTTAAACTATCAGCACTTTATTTGGGTAGCGTCCACACGACAATTCGGAATGTAAACCTTGATATTTTGAATTAGGTCTCCATTTCGCGAGTTCCGGATCGAATGGCCTATAGGTCAAGCGCGCGGTTTTCCCAGGGACGCATTTAGTGAAGCGGCTTAGGGGGTTAAGGCGATTAATGTAATGTACAGTCTCGTCGATCTGGGTTTTAAAGACAGTGGTTTTTCCCCCAGATCCGGGATCGGTCCTCGCCATGGGTCGGGAGCCATGTTTCATTGTGTGATAACATTCGCTGACTTCTATCGACCCGGAAAACTGACCACCGTGATTTCTTAGATGGGCTCATGGTCCGTCTGTTGTTAAATGGTTACCGGAGCTCATAGACATCAACAACTAACGTTATTAACGCCATCCATCTTGAGACTTAAGTTTCTAAGTCATCGCTTTATATTCATATCAGTTAATACGAATCATGTGTCTACATGTTTTGTTGTTACATATTTCCCGTAAAACCTTAAAATTTCAAATAAACAGGTAATCGATATTGTTTCACCCACTAAATACTTAAGTTCGCAGCCGACACGTAACCCGGGAAAGCTTTTATGAACTTCCCGCAGCTTTTTGTACTTGTCCGTGTTTTATTGGGCTTTTTTCGATCGGTGTTTTTGTTCCGAAGATGACTTTTCATACTGAAAGTTTATCTCGTAATTGTTCGTTTGCTCATAAACTTTAATGGCCAGATGTTTCTGTTAGGCTTTTTTATATTTTACTAGAGGTCCCGCAGTAGTCGAAATTCGACTA